GGATGGATGGATAGTGTCATAGTAATGGATAGGCACGGCATACTTCAAAGTGTGTGAAGCAGTTCAGCTCTCATATTGGTTCACAAACATCACCAAACATAACATCTTTTACACACTCAAATGTCCTTGAAAGTAAAACATTATGAGCTGAAGTTTAGTTTGTTGCTTCCAGCTGTTTGAGTTTTTTTCTCTGTTAAACACCTGCTGCCTCAGACAGTGGCAGGATCTATATGAGCATCTGCAACGGGAGAGTTTTGTTCCCATTTAGCCATGTGGGACAACTAACTTCCATAATTAGTTAGAATCATAAATTATCCTCAAACTGGATTGATCAGGATCTAGCAGCAGGTGTCTATAAAGGGTTTTATGTTTATCAGTGACTGACAACAACTGATTGTAATAATTCACTTTGTTGGACAGATGAATAAAATTCAATGACTAATTTCTGCATTGTTTATACTTGAGAACATTTTACCTCTGAAAAAGTTTGATTATAACTTGCTATTCAGCTGTATTGTGTGTCTTGGGTGGAGCTTCAGAGCTTAGATGGGCAACATGCTGTTACAAAATGTACACACTGTAGGAGACAATGGAATGCAAATGCCAAACATAACACTATAAATCAACCTATAACCTCTCCCTAGAATGCTTTTAGGGGCAACAAGTGCTTAAGTAAATGGATCAATGCAGCAAACCTACTGCAAAAAACGTTTAAAATTTGCAGCCGAAATTTACTCTGTTATGCAACTTGATGGAAGAAACACGGTTTCTCATGAACAAATTTAATATACAGGCCGTCATTTCGCCCAAAAAAACACGAAGATGTTCCCACTAAAATCCCAGAGTTGACTGAGTTACGCGAATAGTCTTATTATTTGCTGATACACCATGAAAAACACATTCTTTTTGTTGCAGTTTGGGTGAACTGACCCTTTTAGCAGAGCACGGCTCGCACAGAAACATTTCTGCTTTGAGAGTGGGAAATTAGACAGATTTGGTCTGTCCACACGGATAAGCATATTAAGGTGTTTTCTGAGGACGGGATCCCTCTAAAGCCTGTAATTATTACACTGGAGATTTCATACATCATTATAACAATCCTGTAGATCCATATCCTTGAGACAGAGATAAATGTGAAATTAAATGTGTAAGCACGCACTACAAACTACGAGGCAGACGGACTGCCAGATTGCAATCTGTGAAATATCTTAAGTATCTTAAAAAGAAAACCCCTTAGACCCTCGAGTGCCTCATCTTCAGGGTCCAAGCCTCGAAATAGATGCAAAGAAGAATGACAGCGCAGAAAGTCTGGCAAGATTACAGGATGCCTTAAATCTCTTTTGAAACCCAAACAGTGACCCTGACTGTTGTAATCTGATTATGTGTCACCAACTGAGTGGAGATAAAAACCCACATACCTGTCATCCTCCAGTGAAACCTCCAGCGCCAGTCTACCTGGAGACACACACCTGAATGTTGAGTATCGTATACCTGGGGAGAGCTGTTCTCACAAACCCATGTAAATTATGAGATAATTTGTGACACTGGTATTCATAGCTGTGTGGCACAATATAAAGGCCTCTTTTGTTTTGCCCTTTTTGTGCGTTCACATTTATTGAGGCACCCTGATATCAATGGCCTAACAATAGTGCCAAATTGTATAGATTTTCTTGTATAATGCTCTCTAAACATGCTTGTATTTGTCGAGGAGAGAAGGAGCGAGGAAGGGGGGGATGGGTGGGCGTGAGATCTTTTCATTGCTCTGATCTCGGGGAACGGCGTTTCTGCCCTCCAGATTGTTCTGTGTGGATTGCTTTTTGCGCTGGATGAGCTGTCAGAGAGGCAGTGAAGGGCAAAGTGTTCTGCCCCCCAGTTCTCTCAGCTGTCAGTTGTGCGTGTTGTGATATTTGAGCTGGCGTTGTGTGGTTGTGCGTCAGCTGGGCTCACCGATAACTTATGTATCTCTTGTGCACATTTGGGTTTTGCATCTAAGGGCATGAAGTGGACGTGCAAAGACCTCTGTTTTTGGGACAAATTTTAATAATGATCTGGATCTGACTTTGGGCCTTACGTTCTGCATATAGATTCATTTTCTATACTTAACCGCGACTGCTATTTAATATTTCATATTGCCATTTTGACCAGGTCTTCGAGCGAACAAGTATAAATTAAACATTTTGGTGACTAATGGTTTCAAGGACGTCTAACGTACATGCTACAATCACCAGACCCACAGTAGCCATTTGCACTCAGATTAGGACTGAATCAACCCTCTGTCATCTGCATGATGCCAACTCATCAGACTACAAATCCCTACTCATAGCTCTGCGATGACAAAGGCTTAGAAGTAATAATTTTGATGAGTACTTGCTGCAAGTATTCGGCTGCAAAGGAATAATTACGGGGATGCCACCTGTCTGAAGAGGCTCAGAGCTAATCTGCAGGTCCTGAAACAATGTGTTGTTTTACTTTTTTTTTTTTGTCAAGGCAAGTTGGGACAAGAGTTGGATACCTTGCCACTGCTTCCCCTCTGCTTTTCTGTCATTGTTTATTCTGTCTATATTGTATTCTTTGTGGAGCTGGAGCTTAGGGGACATGATTGGTCTGTTTAAAAAATAGTACAAGAGTTATAAGTGTGCTACGTGTTTTTCTGCACATTTACAAGACAAGAATGGAGGACTGTTTTTTCCTTAAAGCCTTTTTTTGTCCCTGATTTATAGTATACTACATGACATGTATTTGTCCCTTGTTCTTTCCATTTCACAGGTCTGTGGATGTTCATGGAGGTACTAAAGATGGCAGCTTCAGGAACAACGCTCCTTACTTTGGCCACAGTCCTCCTGCATGTGGCAAGGTGTCAAGGGACTATGGTTAAAGGAAAAGACAGCTCTCCGCTCAGGTTTACACACCATCTCTACAATGCCACTATCAACGAGAACTCTGCGCCTCGGATGTACGTTGAGACGCCTGTGAAGATGGGCATTGAAGTGACAGATCCGCTCTGGGACATCAAATATAATGTCGTCTCAGGAGACGAGGACGGCTTTTTCCAAGCAGAGGAAGTCAGAGTTGGGGATTTCTGTTTTCTTAGAATTAAAACACGCAGCAGTAACTCAGCTCTCCTCAACAGGGAGGTCAGAGACACTTACACCCTCACTGTGGAGGCGACAGAAAGCACTTTTGACTTCCAGACGAAGACGAAGGTGTTTGTCCAGGTGCTTGACACCAACGACTTGAAGCCCCTTTTCTACCCTGCCTCATACAACGTGGCCATCAGGGAGGACACTCCACTTAAGTCGAGTGTGGCCAGAGTTAGCGCTACAGATGCCGACATTGGGAGCAACGCTGAGTTTTATTACTCTTTCACCAGCAGAGCTCATCCTTTTGTCGTCGACCCCTTTACGGGCACAGTCAGCCTTGTCAGAAAGCTCAATCACACTCGAACGGAGAGATATGACCTTACCGTTTTAGCAGAGGACAGGACAAAAAAGATATCTGGTGTTCAGAAATTTGGTAACGTCGCCCGGGTCACAGTAAACATACAAAAGATGCCCATGGGGTCACCAATTATCACACCACTCCCAAAACCCACAGTCTCTACAGATGGCAAAGTAACTATCAGTGTTCACGTGGAAGCAGGCGTTAAGCCCGTGGAATCCCTTTATATTGCTGGAGGGGATCCCCACAAGTGTTTTGAGATAATCCCCTTAGGTGTGCAGGGCAGTGACTTCCAAGTGATCTCCACAAAGAGGATTATCTGGTCTCAAACTCCTTTTGGGCTGAATCTGTCCCTTCAAGCTAAAGACAGGAGCTCGCCAAGTCTACTCTCTCCTGTTACACAAGTTCACATTCCGGCCCATCATTACAGCCCTTTAGCGTTTCTGGAGGACACCTACATCGTCACGTTGAGTGAGTTTTCTCCCCCGAAAACTTACGTAGTTAAAGTTTCTGTTGCATCGGTTCCATATAATGTTACATTTAGCATCAAAAACAACCCAGACAGTGAGAATTTCAGGATAAATCCCAAAACTGGGATTATCATAACTACAGAGAAATTTGACTATGAGAGAAAAGACCGATATGAATTTGACGTACTGGCTAATTACGGTGAAGCTGAGACTCACATTGTGGTTGAGATAACAGATGAAAATGACAACAGCCCACAGTTCACACAAACATCCTATCAGGCCACACTGGATGAAAACACACCTGTTGGCAGCAGTGTTTTGAAAGTAGCCGCTTCAGACAGAGATAAAGGCAAAAACAGCTTTGTGACCTATGCTATTGCAAATTCAGGACCTGTTCCTTTTACGATAGATCCATTCACAGGTGTCATCTCAACCTCTGAACACTTGGACTATGAGCTGATGAAACGGCGGTACCACCTGCGAGTCTGGGCCTCGGACAGTGGCAGCCCCTTCAGTCAGGTCAGCGAATGCCCCGTGACGATTACCCTGAACAACATCAACGACAACATCCCTCTGTTTGAGAGGGTGGGCTGCAACGTCACCGTGCCTCCAGATGTACCCAAGGGACACACAGTTGCTGAGCTGTCAGCTATTGATTTAGATGAGCTGCAGCAGCTGAGGTATGTCATCGAGTCGGGGAATGAGCTCCAAGTGTTTGGTATTGATGCAGTTTCGGGGGCTGTCACTGTCAAACAACCAATTCCCCAGGGCACCGGGTCATTCACTTTGAGAGTTGTAGCCACAGATGGCAAGCATCACTCTGAAGCTTCAGTCGTCAGGATAACTGTCACCAACAAAGGTGATGATGCAACACTCCGCTGCCTGGAAACGGGCATATTCAAACAGCTGACTGACAAACTGATAGAGTCGATCAAGCCCATTTTAATCAATCAGGAGGAAGACACATTCTCAGATATCCACATCACCAACCGACACTCTCCCAAATTTGACACGAGCATTCCCAGTTCAATCGACCTCGCCGAAGATCACCCCTTAAATTCCTCCATTGTTCAGTTCAAGGCAACGGACAATGACTCAGGCTTTAATAGTAAGCTTGTGTATGCCATATCAAGCGGGAATGAGGACGGCTGTTTCTCCATTGACACTTTCTCCGGGGATCTTCAGTTGGTTTGCCATCTGGACAGAGAGAGTAAAGAGTTCTACATTTTGAACATCACTGTCTATGACTTAGGAATGCCGCAAACATCTGCGTGGAAATTTATTGCTGTCAATGTCCTGGACGTCAATGATAATCCTCCTGTTTTCGATCAGCCCAGGTATGTGATACGAGTGCCTGAAAACACAGAAGTGGATTCAGTTATTTTCACAGCTCGTGCAGTAGACTTGGACATGGATGCAAGCGGTACCGTCCAATACTCCTTGCTGACGCCTACGGACATGTTCAGTATTAATGAACAGACGGGAGAGGTGATGGTGACGGGGCAACTTGATCGAGAAGGTTTACCCAGGCACGACCTCCGGATCAAAGCAAGGGACCAGGCCAGACACGGCCCTCAGTTGTTCTCCACTATTGACCTAGTGGTGGTTTTGCAGGACATAAATGACAACCCACCCAAATTTGTACCAAAAGTATACAAAATAAGGGTTCCAGAAGATGTTCCTGTGGGTACCCTGCTCACCTGGGTGGAGAGCGTCGACTTAGATCTGGGCAGCGGGGGCCTCGTCACCTACAACCTCAAGAACACAGAGAGCGGGATCTTTCACCTCGACTCCTCTACGGGGGCCTTGACCCTCGAGAGGGAGCTGGACTTTGAGAGGCGGGCGTCTTACAACCTCACAGTCCGAGCCGTTGACCACGGCCTCCCTCGCTCCCTCTCGTCTTCCTGCTTTGTGGAGATCGAGGTTCGGGATGTCAACGAAAACCTCCACCGGCCAGTGTTCACGGAGTTTGTTTACGATGCCGCCGTGATGGAGGATGCAGCAGTGGGGACATCTGTGGTAGCACTTACAGCTTCTGACAAGGACCTAGGAAGAGATGGAATCGTCAGGTACCACATCCATGATGGCTCAGGCCTAGGAGTGTTCACTATTGATGAAGAAACAGGTATTTCTTTTTTTGCTTTTTACTAGAACTGGTGATTTTATTTGTATATGTTCTTTTCTATTTTTACATTCTAGGGTCTATAGTCTTTTAAAATAATAAATTGTAACTTGATCGGCCTGTTGTGGATGACTGAACAAGCTTGTTGAAGTTTAAAAAACAACAACAACAACAACAAAACAAGCCAATAGAAGGCTCAGTTGTTTTGCTGCTTCTGTGTTCATGATTTTCTGTCTTGCCAAGAGTTAAACGAGAAGCTTGAAATCACTCTCACATCTGGAATCAGCAACTGGTTACTTCAGTTCAGCCACAAATACTAGAAAATGAGGGGAACAAATAGTCTGGCTGTGTCCAAAGGTAACAAGATAAACCTATGTCTTCTTTGTTTAATCAATACAAAACCCACAGTGTAGAAGCTACAAATCACTTTTACGAGGGAGTTGTGTGCCAGATCGGTTACCCAACAATCAGTGGAGACTCGAGGGAGTTTCTTGTCGCGCCCGACATCATGTGATGTGATTGAAATTCCAATAGCAGCTAATATGTGGAGATTGTGGTGAGATTGTTTTGATAGATGTTTTGATGGTTAGAATCAGGTATCATCTTTAATAACCCTTTAAACCCCAAGGAGTTTTTATGCATCTTTTGCCCCTGTCATGTTACAAAAGTTTAATTTCTTTGGCTTTCAAAATTTTAATAAACCTGGGATTCATATTTTTATTTATTTATTTACTTAATCTTCATCGTGAAATAGTTTATTTTTGGGCAAATTCTTTAAAAGCAGCATGTAGAATGAAGCATTTTTTATGAAATATCACAATTTTAAGTTTAGATTTGATTACCTGTCCAGAAGAAACCAAAAGCCACACATGATTAGTTTAATCAAAACTTATTTCTGTTGTTGCAATTTCTGGTTGATCAATTTTATAATTTTGGCACTTAACAAAAATGAAAAAAGAACAAAACATGCCTTTCTAACCCATCAGAGGGTTTCGGGGCTCAGAAGGTGTCTAACCAATAAAATTTGAGCATAAATTCAGTTTTGCAAAGGAAAGTTTTTCATTTCCGGCTCTGTGGCATGCCCAGACCTCACTGTCACAAAAAATCTGTCCAGTAAGACATTTCCTCATGGAGCGTCCCAGAGGTTACAAGGTGACATGTGAATGGGCGTACAACACAGCATTTCCTCTGCAGGAGTTAAGGTCGTTTGATTATTTTTCCATCAGCATATCCTTTGCATAGGACGCCCTGTGACCACGCAGCATATCGTGGTGCATTCCATTAGCCTGCTGCTGCACTTAAGGCTCAGATAAAATCAGGGCAAATGGAGTTCTCTGTCATGATGGATGAAACTGTGATGAAATATATCTTCACTGTGTTGCTGCTTTTTAAGTTCTGCCTCTGGGTTTCCAAATTTAAACTCCTTCTGACAGCCAACTATGTGCAGAAAAGTCACTTTCCCCTGTCTTTAGGTTTGCCGCTGTACCACAGCTACCCAGTGGTGGCCTCTCGTATAATGTAAGTCAGTTTTGGCAACACAAATGTGTCATCCATGTTACTGAGCAGGGAATGCGAAATATTTTCTAAGCCCACCGTTTGGCTCCGATCCAGTCTTTTTAAAATGCAAACAGGCACCTTAAGCTAGATGAAAGTCAAGTTATGGTGATTGATATTTCCTCCAGGGTTGTTACAGTGATTAGAATAAAACTGATTATACTGATAGGTGTTAATTCCTGAGGCACAGCAGCAGGTTGGAAACATGCAAACGCCGCTGTGCAGTTCACAGGAGAAAACAAGGTTTAATCTAATTCACCCCTCTTTCATGTGTCTCAGGTGTGATTCGTACAACAGAGATGCTGGACCGTGAGATGGTGCCTCACTACTGGCTCTCTGTCTACGCCACCGATCTGGGGACCGAGCCTCTGATCTCCTGGACTCACGTCTTCCTGGAGGTCCTGGACGTTAATGACAATGCTCCTGAACTTTCCCAGCCGGTGTATTTTGCATCTGTCCAGGAGAACGTGGACAAGGTCAACTCTGTCATCCAGGTGTCGGCCACAGACGTGGACACGTCCTCGGAGGGGAAACTTTCCTTTGAGATGCTAGAATCACATCGAATGTACTTCGATGTAGATCCCAAGACAGGTAAATACACTTCTTTAAAAAAAAGATTGTGAATCAATTAAAGGAGCAAAAATGTTCACAAAGCGCTTGTGACAGACAAAGCAAAAGCAGGATACTCAGGACCCACACTGTAAGGCCAGACAGCAAAGCTAAATAATGGTGAAATTAAAATAGTTAAAAATTTGTAAAAGTTGTAAAAATACAAAATGCCAGTGATAATAAACACAAATGCAATAATAAAAGAAATTAAACCTTGATAAGCTATTTAAAAAAAATCACATAATGCAAGTCTATAAAAATGGGTTTTAGAAGTTATTTTAAAAAGTCACTGATTCTGCAGCCTTGTCTCCTCAGACAGGTTATTCCAAAGCTGAGGGCTCCTGACAAAGCATGGCTGCCTTTATATTTTTACCTCCAGAAGGGCCCCACCTAAAGATCTATTCCTTTGATGTAGCTTTGGACCAGATCCTGACGTGCTTTAAAAGTGATCAGTAAAATCTTAAAATCAATTCTAAAACAAAGAGGGAGCGAATGGAGAGAAGCCTGGTGATGTGAGGCAAGAGAGGGACCTTGTTTTGTTTGTTTGAATTGTTGTGGTATTCTCGAGAGATTCCTGCTTCCAGTGAAATGCTTTAGCATCTTGGGGCAGTTCTTGGCCATGCATGTTCCGTTCTAAACATGCACGTACTCATTTGGTAAAAATCTGTTTAAACTCATGAGCTGCACAAGAACTAAAACTCAGTGGTTGCCTACATCAGCGCTGCAGTCAGACAGCGTTTAATAGGTGAAGATGACATTAAAGTTGTAATTTGTAAATACATTCATGATCACTTTGTGTTAGTATTGTAGATGATTGAGATAACTAACATCAAATACTTTAAATAAGGACTGAACTATTGAAAAAAAAATCTAAATTAATGACATAGATCCGGTTACATTTTGGATTGAAATCCTCCGAGCAGCTTTACTCTGAAATATGCAGCTCTCAGCTCTGAAACACGTAATTGAAGCTTTTCGGGGGCTAACATACGGCCAGGAAGATATACAGCAACTCTGGGACGGTGAATGTAACTGGATCAGGTTGCACAGTGTCATCCTCCCATTTCACAAGCAGTATGAACAGAAATATATGCTGCACGCTCCCTTTTGATTGATTTACATCTTTATTCAAACTCCCCTTGTGATTATAAGACATCTGGGGGACCTCTCTTCTTTCTCTTTCGCAAATTGTTTCGACATATCTGCGTATGTCGCCATGGCCCCGTGGCAGATTTACATTTTGATTCACGGGTATTACTGCAGCAGTAAAGCCTTACAGCATGTTATTTCCCACAAGGGGAGTTGTTGAAAAAAAGAAAAAAAAAAGGAAGGTGTATATCTGCTAATGCACTGTTGCAAGTCTGAGCAGCAAAGTGATGCAGAACCTAGGCGTGTTGCAGAGAGGGCAGAGCTGAAAATACAACCTAATAATAAGAGACTCTATTAGAGGTCACTCACAAACTCGCTCATGTGTAATCTGAACAAAAAAAACCCAAAACAACTTTACACTGCAGAGAAAAAAAGAAAATGCCTGGAACCCCCTCAGGTATCGGTGTGTTCTTCGTTGACAGTTGCAACTGAATCACCCGGCGAGGACTTTGATGTTCAAGTAAATGAGCGCAGCATTAGCTCTGACGCTACAAGCCACTGCAAGTCCTGTCCTCTTCTTCTAATCTCCTGTAGTGTTTGTCCACACCCTAAGGCCAGTGTACTGAAGGATTACAGGGCGAGGGGAAGAGTTGTGTTAATAGAGAGACGTCATACAAAGCAAGGCAGGGCAGGAGGTGTTGAAACAGCCGGAGAGTGTCGAATTAAAACAAGCTTTTTTTTTTTGTGTAAATGCAGGTGTATTTGGTATTCATTTACTCATACACACAAGCACAGGATGAAATGTGTTTTGGCTGAAAAGAGGTTATTGTATCCCGTCTGTCCTTTTTTGTGTTCGGAGGATTTCCTAATGTCAAGTCTTGGCTGTGGTCGGAGGGCATTTCAGTGTAGTCGACCTAATTTTATGTGAAAAAGCTCCTGAACTTTACTCTTTATTCCTGACTTGGATCCCCGTTAGCTTCCAGAGGTTCGTCCTCCATAGATCCACATTCAGTAGGAATAGAACAGAAGTCAGTTTATGTAACTGGTGGAACTGGAAAAGACAAAAGTAACCGCACGCACATCCTGACTGCTTTCACAAAAAAAGGAACGCAAACACTGAAAATGTCAAAAAAACAGAAGAAAGAAACAGGAAAAATGTGATTTAAACAATACTGTGTCCTATAAAATTAGCTAAATGTTCACAAACTCAGGAACAGAGACTGTATTACCAAAAGTATGTGGACATCTCTGTCTGCTCTGGGGCTGGATTTTCATGATTCATGCTAAAATCATTCAAATCTGAAGAAGTTCTCACCTGAACCCACCTGAATCAAACACGATAGTGGGTCGACATTTTAAATTTTTAAATTCTCATAGTTTTTTATAGCATTTTTAAGCCCTTGTAACTGTGTTCGTGAAGGTGATAGGAGACAGGGGATGAAATGTAATGACACACAACAGTTTTAACATGACAACAGCGTCCCCGTCACACGGAGCCTGAAGCCCATTCTCCATTTGTGGATTAACGTTTTAGCTGGATTAGATTGATAGCTGATGAATTGGCCTGATCCCAGACTTCTCACTTCTTTGAAATAATCGTTGCACTGCTTGTCACAACGACATATGTTTATTCATGTAAACAAGATTAGATGACAGCATCGTTTCAGGCACAACTTCTTAAGGGAGGAACCGGTTGCAGGAACCTGGTCTATGATGACATTCCACAAACAATTATGAACGAAACAGAGGAATTACATCATAAAACCTGCGATACAATACCTGTGACACAAAAAGGAGAAATGTGCAATCAGCTGACTTTACTAGAAGTTGAAAAGTAAAAGTGTGGTGCTTGCTCTGACTCTTACTGGCGATGGAGGGATTGTTTTGGTGGAACTTGTGCATGCGGGGAGGTGACTGCTGTCCTTAAAATGGCACATTTAGTGTTAAAAGAAACGAGCAGGGATGCCTCATCTGCAAGACTTATTTAAGGATGTAGTTTACACGGCAACACGCGGATTGCAGAAGGGGAGGAAAACAGCTGCATCAGAATGCATGGCTACTGGCAGGCTTATACCCAATTCATCATCTTGGATGACTGAAGCCAGCGAGTTTAATCAAATTCTCATAAGTTTTGCGTATTTGTGAAAGCAGTAGCAACAACTCCTGGATCAGCCAGTCGATCTTGAATGTTTTGTACACTGAATGGTTCCATCCGTCCATCCATCCATTATCTATACACCGCTTAATCCTCACTAGGGTCGTGGGGGGCTGGAGTCTATCCCAGCCGACTCAGGGTGAAGGCAGGAGACACCCTGGACAGGTCACCAGTCTATCACAGGGCTACACTTAGAGACAGACAACCAAGCACACTCACATTCACAACTACGGACAATTTAGAATCACCAATTAACCTCAACATGTTTTTGGACTGTGTGGGAGGAAGCCGGAGAACCCGGAAAGAACCCACACTGCACGGGGAGAACATGGAGACTCCACGCAGAAAGATCCCGGTGCCCCCACTGAATGGTTCCCAGGTCCTTAAATAAATAGCTTTACCAGTTTACTGTGGAAGAACTCGACTGGCCTCCACAGAGCCCTGACCTCAACCCCATCCAACACCTCTGGGATGAGCTTCAACTGTGACAGAAAGACAGACCTTCTCACCCGACATCAGTGCTCCCTAATGCTTCAGGGGCCGAATCCTTTGGGCCGTGCAGGAGCGGAGGCTGTTGTAGCAGCAGCACGGTGATTGCCCACGGTTTCTGGATGACATGTTCAGCAATCACATATGAGTGTAATACTAATCATCCACATGCTTTAGGTCAAGTAGTTTAAATCCAAATGGGATTTTCACTCAAGGAGCAAAAACCATCGCGGAGACATTCGCTCTGACCTTTTACTTGAAGGCAACAGTAGTAAGCTGCCATGGAAAATCATGTGGCGACAAAGAATTCAAGAAATAACTGGGAGTAGCGTTCACTGATTTAATAAATGCGTGTGCAGGGAGGGAGATTGTTTCACCTTGAACAACATAAATGTGCTGCTGAAACCACGTCTTTGTAACAAGACCCACCTTGTCTTATTTTCAGAAACGAACTGGCTATTACTAATGTACGAGGTGACTGGTATAGACACCTCTCATGCCGTGACAGGGTGAGAATGAGTCACAACCGTACGATGGTTTCTTCCTGTTCTCCTGAAGCATGGATGCTCTTTATGCTGCAGCAGCGCCTTCTGTCTGATTCAACCCAGAACAATTAGCTGATGAAGTTTCAGCGGGACAGGATTTTGTGCTTAGCAAAGAAAACATTCAAATTCAATCCCGTCCAGTCTGTTTCCATTAAGCCGCTGCGACTATAGAAAACAAGTGTGGTTTGGTTATGTAAGTCGAACGCCGGTTTCATGATGTGTTTCACATGCACAGAAAAAAGAAAAAGTTGTTTGTTGACAAGGCCAGGCAAGTTAGGAATGCGCCTAATTCATCAGTATTTTGCAACAGCGAATTCCTCAACAATTTTGATGCCGAGATTTAAGATCCTCAAACTGATACGATGCGGTGAATTCAGCTGTTTGGTTTTCTTTGTGATTTGTCTGATTTACATTTTCTATAAATTAAGGAGGGTTGTTATTAAAGCATGAATGGGATGACCTCTGCTTCCTTGTTGTCAGCAAACCCCCTAAAAGCAGTGATTCTGCTTCACTGTTAAACGCTTCAGTAGGCTGCACTTTTTCACCAACGTGTTGTTTTCATTACCACAGACACTCGCAAGTGTTTGTGAATCCACAGCTGGAAACAGTCCCCCAGATGTGTGTCGTTTGCCTCCTGTTTGAGCAACATGTCCTGATAACTGCAGTAGCCACCTCCGTTAGGAAACTTGAGCCTTTTTAAAAAA